TAATAATAATAATTATAAATGTCTCGGCAAAAAAGGCTTCGTATTACATAGTACAAAATTAAGCGTGATTAAAATATTAAGCTAAACTAATTAATAAACAATTGTCATTAACAAAAATAATCTCAATGTCAGGTGTTTTTTTATCCATCAAAAGAATACATTAATTATTTTATTTCACAGGTGTTGAAAAATTACGTCAACCATTTCTGAATATAAATGAAAATTACCTGAAGCTGATTAACATTATGACTTAAATAGTGATAACTTCGACGTATTTTGATAGACAACCAACCGTAACCTAACCTAACCTAACCTAACTAAAAACACCGTCAGGAATAAACTTCAGTTCTACACCACGAAAAAAATTACCTTTGACTAATTAACATCAATCACCTGTTCAATCACCTGCTGTAGTTATAAAGGTAAATTAACGTATATATGAAGGTAAATATAGGTAAAAACAACCTCTCCTGGTCCGTTACACTTAATGTACTCAACTCAATGTAATCAACTTACTTTGTATCCATCTCGTGCAGAGTACACACAAAGCAGATGGCACTTATGGTAGAAGCTGATTGTTAATTATCGTTATAGATGGATGAATTAGGTTACAAAATTATATATATTTAACTGAGTTTTTCATTCTAGTTCTCGACTTTTCTGACTGACTAACTGGTTAACTGACAGTTTTTACCGCATGAGGGAGTTTTTTTCTATTATTATTACTACGGTGAAAATAACCCAGTTACATGAAGTGGTTGAAACCCCGCACTAGAAATAAACAAACAAACTGACACAAAGACAATCAGAGTCTCTGTTTTCAGTTCCATCCATTGTTATAGTGTTGTATCTCCATTGTTCCTAGTCTCTCTCTTTCCTCCTTCTCTCCCTCCTTCCATACCTACCTCCCTCCCTACCTCTCATTCCCCCCTCCTCCCTCCTTCTCTCCTCCCTTCCATACCTACCTCCCTCCCTACCTCTCTCATTCCCTCCCTCCCTCCCCAATTCCTCCCTCCCTGCTCCCTTCCTCTCTCCCTTCCTTCCTTCCCTCCTATTTACCTTTAATATAAAATACTCTACTCGATATTAGCTTCAGGTGACATTGTTTGAGTTGTTCTTAAACGATTTGACGTACTGATTAACCATTGGTTGTAAACGTCTATATGTACAGTGGATGATGTGTGTGTGTGTGTGTGTGTGTGTGTGTGTGTGTGTTGTATACCATTCAATCCTTACCATATTAAACTACTATTATTACCTTCATTAGTATCATTGTTATCATCATCGTTACTCAGACATCCACACGTGTATAACAAGACTTTCAGGAACACAACATAATTATGATCATATGTTTCAGTATATTACAAGGCTTCGGGATCCTTAATTAATCTGATTACTTGGAAAAGACTCATGATATTAAGGTCAGGGAAAATAAGCAGCTTTAAACGTATTTTGAATGACAACTTTCTTTTTTGTTTTCATATGTCCTATAGAATACTACTGTATAATATATAACAATATTTTTGTTTAACTCCTCCAGATTTGTATAACTCAATGGGAAAGATTATATATGAATTGTAAACACTGGTGATATAATTCCTAAATATGAATAAGGATTAATTTGATATGAATAATACTGTATTTGAAAGTTAATAATTGTCACATATGTAGGAAAATATTTAGGTACAGTAAGTTAGTGAAAATAACACGAGGAGCCAATAACACTTTTTCCTACTACTGGTTATCATTTCTCCACAGCCCTTCCTCTCTCCCTCCATCCCTCTCTCTCTCTCCTTGCCGCCCTCCCTTTCTCCCTCCTACCCTCCTTCTCATCCCTCCTCTCTCCTCCTCCCTCCTTTCCTTTCCTCATCGTGGTTCGCTGTTTCACGGGGTCGATGCACCACCTCTCCTCACACTCTGTTGGCCTTTACCCGACTATTTCACGCAGACACAAAGACAACGTCCCAAAGCAGACAGCCACAGTCACTAACATCCCCTACCGCACAATCTCTCAGTCACACCTCCAGTCAGTCTCAGTCACAATCTCCCAGTTACAGTCTCTCAGTCACAGTCTCTCAGTCACAATCTCTCAGCCACAGTCTCTCAAAAACAGTCACTCGCCGCAGTCTCTCACACATAGTCTCTAAATTACAGTCTTCTAACCACAACACTATAACCACAACCAGTCACTTAACCTCAGTCTTCCAACCAGTCACTCAACTACAGTCACTCAACCGCAGTCTCTCAACCACAGTCACTAAACCTCAGTCTTCCAACCAGTCACTCGACCACAGTCTTCCCACCACAGTCACAAATAGACGGACACCACACCTGTGCTTGGGCCGGCTAGCTCGTCAATCCAGGGCAGGTGGCCAGAGAAGCGTATAATCCCCATCGCAGTCAGACTATTGCGTATATTCTCACCTGTTTACCTGTTAACTCCCGGAGCATAACATAACCATTAATGCTCCTCCTTAAAACATACACGTGTAAATGTTTTTGTTTTGTTTTTCAGTTTAAAAGCCTTGGATGTGATATTTTCATAATTTTGTTTTAATTTTGTAGCTGTAGTTAAACTATTGTACTTTTGCGCTAATATATATAGGCTTATCCTTTTTTGGGGGGTGGGGGGTTACTGCCTTGAATTTATTACCATTTTGCTTGAATATGATGATTTATTTCTTTTTTTTATACTCTCAAATATATTTTTCTTATGCTACACTTTTTATTAAATGTAATATTTTCCTCAGTTGTTACCTGTAGACGTTCAGCCATCAACCACGTTCACTATTGTATCCGCTCTTCTTTTTTTCTATTGTGAAGTGCATGAATATAATGGTTTATTCATAGTGAGAACAAAGTCAACACACGTCTACACCACAGAGTAATCTTCAGCGACATTGTAAAGTCCGAGACAGGAAAGGAGGAGGAGGGGAAGAGGAGGAGGGGGGAAGAGGAGGAGGAGCAGGAGGAGGGGGAAGAGGAGTAGGAGGAGGAAGCAGTGGTGGCACGGAGAAAGAAAAAGAAAAAAAAAGCCTTTGTGATATGTCTCCTTTGTGTTCTGGTACAATAGATCAGCTGTGCCATAAGCAGAAGAACAGAGAGCCAAGGCAGCAGATATCAAAGGTACTGGTACAACACTGTATCACCTGACTCAAATATTTAGGGACTTCGAGTTCGCCTTAGGGTGGATCAAGGGACAATCAAATGTATAGAAGGTTATAGAAACACGTGTAGGAGTGAAATCCATACAAGGAATAATTCAGATGTAAATATGTTTGAAATCTCCGCCTCTGTACTGATGTCTCTGACCCATTAACTCTTATTTATGAATAGTTTGAATAATGCTAATTTAAATGTCTGTAAATCTTAAATATTTTCCAGGAGAATAAAAAACAGATTAAATAATTTAGTAAAATAAATTAAATGTTAAGAAAGCTTTAGCAACATATACCATGCTGTAAAATTACCATTAAAGAACAGTACCTAATTACCAACTACAGTAACAATAGAAGCTTCTCCCGGCCAGAATGTGAAAATATTTACAGGAGATAATCTTAAATTCTTGGAGGTTACATGATATAGGTAAAACAACTATGTGGCAAGGAATTCCCCAGAGCCGGCCTGAATATTCAACAACATCCGAGGGTCAGGGAGCAATACACTATTTTAAAACCATTTTTCACACACTCTGGATATTAGGATGTTTCACGGCGAGATGAACTAAAAACAAATGTATTGATAGCCAAACTTTTTTACGTCATAAATGTATTTTTTTACAATAATAATAATAATAATAATAATAATAATAATAATAATAATAATAATAATAATAATAATAATAATAATAATAATGCACAAACATGTTAGGTTAAGACAGTGATCCAATGGAATGGCAACTCGTCTTTTCTAGCTGGAGCGAGACATATTACCGGAGACTCATGATCTGTCTTCCTCAGCTAGATAGTCCGAGGCTTCAGTATGACGTCGGTGGCCCCACGGAGATTGATGACAGCAGATGTGTGTGTGTGTGTGTGTCAGACCATCCTCAAGCAACCGAGGATGATGGGTTGAGAAATTGATGGTGAGAGGAAACACAGGTCAGAGGGCCTTCAAGCACACGGGGGCGGTGTGTGTGTGTGTGTGTGTGTGTGTGTGTGTGTGTTGAGATTGATGGTAAAAAAAGACAAATGTCAGGTGATTATTAACCTCTGCCTGGTCATGGATGTGAATAGAGATCATCATAATACAAATAAATAAAAAGCTTCACACAAAACCTAACCTAACCTAACCTAACCTAACCTAGCCTAACCTAACCTAGCTTAACCAATTTTAGGTATACTCTAGCTATCTTACGATGTTAAATGACGTTTTAAATGAAGTAACTTGTAGGAACGAACTTTACAAAATACCTCAGATAATTTCGAATATTGAATCTCAGGTATTCCAAGTATGACCATTTAATATCTCACGTCTCCAGCGGCAACACTTTTACTTAACTAGTGAAATCATTTTGAAGGAAATATCTCAACTGGTGATTAATTTCCTCATCAAACAGATAAAAATTGGAACATATGTTACATGATTGATGTTTGATGTCTTGATGTGCTGAGCTTCGATGCTGCTACGAATCATATTTAGTTTACCTAATGTTTTGGTAAAGGTAATGTTATAGTTCGTGTATTATTTTATTGTAAAATAATAAAGTTTCTTAGGCACAATGTTCATTATTCTGCTTAAACTGTTTAACAATATCAATGATAATTAATTCCTAATAAAAGTGTGAAAGAAAAGAAAAATTATTTTATCATCAAAGCATTGATTATAATTGTACAAGTATATATTTAAGTGTGTGTGTGTGTGTGTGTGTGTGTGTGTGTGTGTGTGTGTGTGTGTGAGGTATGTGTGGTGTGTGTGTGTGTGTGTGTGTGTGTGTGTGTTAACAGCATTTAAAAAATATTCAAGAGAAATTTCTGAAATTGTATTTTTTGTTGTTCCAGGGAGGTGCGGCACCAGCTGGAGTTGTGCCGAGTAACCAGGCTGGACTTCCAGAACTTCGAGGAACTGAGTTATCTGTGAGTTACACCTGTGTCTCTACCTTGAGGGGCTTAATTGTCAATATTCTCTGCAATGAGTTCACGCCTCAGTCAGTCCCAAGCATCCAAGCATCATTCTCAACAGGGACACACACACACACACACACACACACACACGCGCACACACACACACAACACACACACACACACACACACACACACACACACACACACACACACACACACACACACACACACACACGCACACACACTTCATCATCTTCACATCAAATTACCACAAAATTCAGTGTGTCAGGATGTCTGTTGACACATTATAGTATCTGCATAATGTTGCAAGGGCATGAAGGTCTCTGCTGGCACTTGATTTGCATCTCTTGAATCATCAGAAATCTTTTTTACCAGTTTAATTTTTAACTCATTAACAGTTTCTTTCCTCGCTCTCTCCCTCACTCACTAATGTAATTTTACAAATCACCCTCCTCTCTCCCCTTCATAGTCGACCCACAGGAACCTTCACGCCCATTGTCACTTTCCGTCAGAACCATGATAATCTCCTCCGTCAGGCACCATGATAATCTCCTCCGTCAGGCACCATGATAATCTCCTCCGTCAGGCACCATGATAATCTCCTCCGTCAAGCACCATGATAATCTCCTCCGTCAGGCACCATGATAATCTCCCCTCCGTCAGGCACCATGATAATCTCCTCCGTCTCTCCCCTCCGTCAGGCATGATAATCTCCTCCGTCAGGCACCATGATAATCTCCTCCGTCAGGCACCATGATAATCTCCCTCCGTCAGGCACCATGATAATCTCCTCTCCAGGCACCATGATAATCTCCTCCGTCAGGCACCATGATAATCTCCTCTGCAGCACCATGATAATCTCCCTCCGTCAGGCACCATGATAATCTCCCTCCGTCAGGCACCATGATAATCTCCGTCAGGCACCATGATAATCTCCTCCGTCAGGCACCATGATAATCTCCCCTCCGTCAGCATGATAATCTCCTCCGTCAGGCAATTATGATAATCTCCTCCTCCAGGCACCTTGATAATCTCCTCCGTCAGGCACCATGATAATCTCCTCCGCCAGGCACCATGATAATCTCCCTCCGCCAGGCACCATGGCAGGCCATGATAATCTCCCGTCTGCCAGGTACCGTGACAAGCCACCTCCTAGATAAATATAACTTACATTTATAATAAAACTAACAAACATTGAAATCACTTAATAAAAAATAAAAATATTTACCCACCATCAAATCTACTCTTAATATGGGTATTCATCCACAAATGAACACGTGTAAAAAAAAAAAAGTCCTACAAAATTTTGGGTTATTTTTGGACGCTCACGTTCAGGGTTTAATAGTTTGTGAATGACGCTGTTTTGAAACTGTTCCCGCCAGAGTAATTATATTTGGGGTTAATTTTCTGGCTCTTACAGGCGACCAATCGATAAGCTGAGAGAGAGAGAGAGAGAGAGAGAGAGAGAGAGAGATATTATAGTACGTACTTAGCCACACATACATATGCATAAACACACACACACACACACACACACGCACACACACACACACACAAACAAAGAGTCATGCAAAGTCTCTGATCTACATTCCTGATATAATCCCAACTAATCCAGGCAGACATACATGATATAACCCTTATTTATCCTCTTGTTCTGTATCTATCAGAACAGACATCCGGTAGACATTCCTGTAATAATTATTTCCTCATTGTTCCAGTAGACATTCCATAGACATATCTCTGGTCTAAGTACAGTATCTTAGTAGACATTCTTAGGTTAGGTTAGGTTAGGTTAGGTTAGGTGAGGAACAAGGATAAAAAGTTAATGTATAAGAATATTAACATTTGTGTTGATGAAAATATATATAATAAACTTGTTAAATACCCGATTATTTTATTTAACTATTATGAATAAATTAACTAGAGGATGGAAATAAATGTAAAGTATTATGTGTCTATTGTGTTAGTATTTGGTGAATCAAGTAACCGAGTGATTGGAACGACTGGTAGTGTGACCCAATAGGCAGTTGTATTAGATGTACCAGCTGGTGAAAGCCTGTGATTGGTTGGTGGACAGATGAGAAGGCGGGAAAAGTTATTGTTATGGGCGAACCAAGGGATGTGACTCACTCCGCTTCTGACCGTCCATTGGTAAACGACTGTCCCAGGTGGGTGGTGCGGTTCATAGCGAGGACACTAAATAGATCTAAGGCGAAGTACCCTGACATGTTAATGGTAGAATAGGATGTGATATTTAGTGAATTATTCTAGTATAAAGTAAAGGATTCAGACACACACACACACACACAAACACACGTTCTCCTTTCATTTACTGTTATTAATTCCTTCTTATTGCAATACGAGATATGCTCCTTCCCCAAACATCACACGACCCTAGGCTCTCCACTCCTTCACACACACACACACACACACACTTCCTTTACAAATTTATTACACAAATCCTTTCTGTTCTTTTTTTGGTCTTTCCTTCTCCTTTCTAACATCCAACTTTTACTATTTTTATCATACTTTCACTTCTCTTTCTTCCTTTATCTCTCTACTACTACACATCCCTATCGCTCTCTCCTCGACAGCTGAGTAAATTTCTTTTTACTCAAGTATTTTTTTTTTAGTTTCTACGTCCCTTTCACCTCAACCCAGCCTCCTTGATCCACACCCCATGATCTTCCATATGGCTGTTAGGGTCTCTTGTATACCCCATCTTTCCTTGCTTCTTCCTTCCTTCCTTCCTTCCTTACAGACTCTGACATATTTCCTTCTCATCATAAAAAACTCTGGACAGTATTTAATAATTTCCCAGATAAATCAATTGTGTGTTTAATATACCACACATTGGTCCATCAGTGAGACAAGTCAAGCCCTCTCCATTGCCAAACCCACATTGCTCTTCACTTGAAATACCTTCCTGACATATACTAGTCCCAGGAGATAACTCGCATACACTTACTCCAGCTGCCAGCCCTCAAGCGCCCTCTCTCTCTCTCTCCTACAGGTCCATCACCCACTCAGCTCTCAGGGAGGTGGAGGACGGCGCCTTCGGGTACCTGCCGAAACTACACACATTGTAAGTGCCAGTCTCACTTAAGTACTTAAGATAAGTATTTGTATGTTAACTAAAGAGGGACTTCATGGTATGTAGTGTTTGGTGTGGTGATGCGTAGATGATTGATATCAGTGGAGTCTAATCCGATTGCTCCTTACCTACTTAATGCGTAGCCAAGTGTGGAGTGCTTATTACTTATATATTAACTGTGTTGGGTTCACTACTTAAAGACTTCATATAAGTAGTTTTTATAAGTCCAATAATACGAAAAATTGTCTCTACTTAAGTCGTTCTCATAAGTGTAGTGGAGTGTTGCTGCTTACTGTAAATAATGTTCACAGAAATTAATATGTTTGTACTTACGTAATGATAAAAAAGTGTAGTACAATACGTTTTCGATATAGATACTTTTCGAACGAGGGGGCACTGCCTAGATACTTATATTCAGTGGATTGTGGTTTATTTTCCACTTAAATTACTTATAGTAGTGAAATATATCGTTTTACTACTTAAGATTTTAATGTTTGGTTTATGAACATCATATAACTCATTCATGACTGGTGTTTTATTGTGTATATAACATAGAGTGTGGCAGGTTTACTACTTCTATATATCCTCTGTAAAATGTGTAGTACCAAGTATTCTAGGGGTATATTCTGGAGGAGTTTATGTTAAGAAGGATAACCAATGGCCGACTTATTCTCGCGACCCAAATGGTTGATGCATCTGTGTTACTTCGCGGGTATATAAGCTGTGATTATTGTCGGACATTTGTCTGCAAGGGAAAAAATGTGAGTGTGTTCCACGTTAATGACGGTATTGTGACACCGTGAAAGACTTTTGTTGTGGTCAAAAGATAGAAAAGAAAAGAGGTGACCTTTCCTACATGGGATCAATACCTCGACGATGATGGAATGTTATTCAATGACGAGAAGGCTGTAATACTTCACATGACAGAGCCGGGAGGAGAATTCAAGAAGCACTTCCTGGTCACGACAACCACAATAGATCAGAACCCTTTAAAGAAAGAGTCCTGGAAGATGCATTTCCCGCCAAGGAAGAGTTTATTGAACTACCATGTAAGGAAAGCTTGAAGCTGGAATTTCCTACAAAAGTGCTTTATTCCCTCTGGATTGAATAGTTGGAGAAATTTCCAACTTTGTTAAAAAAGCCTTGGTCGTTCTGACACTATATCGAAGCGTCTGACTATACGTATCGGGCTTCTCTTCTGCTCTTTGCTTAAAATGATAAAACCGCTATCAACTGAGTGACCCACCTGATGCTAAGGTGACATGCTACAGGTAATCAACAACTAGCAACATCAGCTTAGGCCCACCCATCTTACTAATACAGTCTGAAATACGAGAATGTATCAGAAAGCTGTAAAACTGTAATCATTTGTTTGACTTGTCCTCAAGATTTTCTATAGAAGACAATTATTAAACTTCTTATTCAGCATAAAAGTGTCTCTTCTTACCTCATTATAAGTAACGTAGCTGTAAATGTTATAAACCATTGACTTATGTAATAGAAATCAATAAAGTATAGTATGTAAGTAACTACTATAAAGAAATTTAAGTAGAATATAACACAATTACTCCTAAAACATTCTAATTAAATACGTATTGTGTTTCATAGTAAAGTGTAAATATATCAATAAAATAATTCATACACTAGTAAATACAAAACTACCATTAGTGTTGTGTGCTAAAGTAGTAACACAATCTAGTATCATTATTGTATAGTGGATGTATCAGAGGCCTTTGACTACACACTGTACTAGAAAAATGTGTTGGGTGTTTTTGAACATATTTGAACATATTTCTATTACATATAATATTTTTATTTTTAGTATGTCATATATTCATCAGTCATAATGGTTACATAATCATATTTTGTCGTAATTAACAGTGATGTATATATATTTCAAGTCTGTAACAAATTATATGTTTTTGTTAATTGTTATGACAGTTTTAAATAATATGTGTGTGTGTGTGTGTGTGTGTGTGTGTGTGTGTGTGTGTGTTGGGGGGGGGATGGATGTGTGTGTGTGTGTGTGTTTTAAGGTGTTGTGGTTTCGTAAAGTGTATTATGTGTTAGGAAAGTGTGGTATAGCGTCGTTTTAGTAAGTTGTATCAAAAGCGAATAAACTAGCTATAAAAATTAGTAATTCATCAATACATATTTTGTTTATCCTGCACCGCAAATCCTTTTAGCATAGCTTGTAGTATGCAAATACGTGTAAATCAGACTCACTCTCTCTCGTCTAAAAATATCTGAAGTGTGTCTGTAATTCTCTGGACTCATTGGCGTCTCTCAATCGAAGCATAAATAATAATTGAATTCAGTCATAAAAAAATAAAAGGTATTAATGCTACAGTATACAGTATGTAGTGCACCATGGCTAGTCAGGACACCGAACACGTTCTTGATTTGACCCCAAACGGCTCTGAGGTGACAACTATTAATAATTAAATGTAATCACGTTAGAAATAAAAATACTCTCCATTATTCTGACAATTATAGCGTAAATGATTGGCTATGGCTTTCATCTCTTACCCGCTCGTTTTCGTTCGGGGGCACTCTGAGTCGACCCAGCTGTGAATGGGTACCTGACTTTAGTTGAGGAAGTGAGGGTGATCAAGTACAGTGGTGATCATCCTTCTTATCTACCGATCCATTAGTGTTCAGAGAGCGGTATCGTCAGTGTCCTTAAGAGAGTCAAACCTGTACGACCCAGTTTAAGTAATGTTATACCCTCAAGATCCATCTACAGTTGCGTGTATTTTTCGAGGCCATGTCATGATGACCCTTGTGCCTTTTCAGGGGATGTGGCAGTGATACTGACAGTCCCTCCATCCACCCGTCTCTTTCCCTCCATTGTCCCTCTCCCCATCCGTTTCTCCCCCGTCCGACCCACGTCCACCCCCCACCCACCCCCCCCTCAGTCCCTTCGCCCTTCGTCCGGTGATGTCAGATTTGATTTGTGTTCGATAACTTTCCTTTGACCAAAGTTTTGTGAAAAGAAAATTCACGTGTGGTGGTGGGAGTACGCTTAAACAATGTTAATATTTATTTTGTTCTGAAATGACATATACTACTCTGAATTATGAGGTATGAGGAGTGAGGGAGTTAGGAGTGAGGGGGGTGAGGAGTAAAGGGGTGAGGGGTGTGGGGGTGAGGAGTGGAGGGGTGCGGGGGTAAGGAGTGAGTGGGTGAGGATTGTAGGGGTGAGGGGTGTGGGGGTGAGGAGTGGAGGGGTATAGGGGTGAAAGATTGATGGGGTATATGATGAGGAATGAGACATGTACAATGAAGAGTTATGGATGTGGAATAAAGAGTAAGGACTAAAAGAAATGTGGAGTGAGGGAATAAGGGGGTGAGAAGTAAGGGCTTAGGATGGGGTGAGGAGGAAGGGATGTTTACCGGGACATTCACTACCATGGCGTCTGGCAAGGACTGAGTGGATCTTAAAGCATCACATTTTACGGGCCGGTCTATCGTTTTTACAACACCTCCGAGGCCATCATAGAGCTGAACACGTAATGTATATCGGCTTTCATGGCTCGCTTATCAGGGTACACGTCTCTTGTTCTGGCCTGGTGCAGCCTCTTCCCTGCAGGAGACAAAAATCGTTTCCAGTGAATCAGCATGTTGTTCAAGCTTCGTACGCACGTTTAATTCACAGTGGATAAGAGAACGCATTAAGGTAGATTGTCATTATGAGTTAGTGACATCTGTGAACCCATTACTGGGACTCGAGTCTGTTTACAACTTGAAGATATAGAGTTTAATTGATATTTTTAAGAAGGAAGCCGCTGTAAAGTTACGGTTTAATTGGTATAAAAAAGTAGTTAAGTGAAATAATTACCCGCCCGGGCAAGTCAGTAAGCAGGAGAGAAATAAAATAATTAAACAGAGTAACCACGAACTGAAGCAGGGGGAGGAAAGAGGGGGAGGTGCAGTGTGTAACAAACCCCTCTATTCACTTCCTGGTTCAATGTTAATTTCCAGTGGAGTTGTTTTGGTTCGATGTTAAGGCAAATTATCTTGTCCAGTTCAGTTCGCTTGGAATTAGTTAACGGGAGTGATTGTTTCCAGGGCAATAATTAAGTCGTCTGGAACTACCTGCATGTTGATGAGAGTTCAGATGGTGTTGGTGTGTGGTAATTGTTTGTATTTCGAGGTAAAGTTTTGTTACATTGTGTTTGATAATTATTACCTTGATAGTGCATTATTATTGTTTATTATTATTATTGTTATTATTATTATGATTATTATTATATATATATTTTTTTTTATTATTAGTTTTGAGATCGTTTTGAAATCAAGTCAATTTGTATGTCTATAGTTTGTTTGGACACACTGCAGTCTTTATATTCATTGTTGTGAATTAAAGAACACAGACGACCTGAGTCTCTTGCCTCGTATTACCGGCCTCTGCAGTTAATGTCTCTGTTGATATAAATAAAAGAAAACATATCAATTATCATGGCAATATTGAATCCAATTTCCATCAAATATTGTTCAATTATCTCCCTGATATTTGAGTTAATGTCAGTTGATTCATGGAAATTAAGAGGTAAATGGTGTTCAGATCAGTAAAGTGATCAGTAAACAGGTGCCCTTAGAGCCTCCCGAGAGCCACTTTAAAGCTGGGAAGTTGTCACACACTAACTAACGACATGAGAAGTATATTGATATATTTATTTGATTATTTAATTATTACAACATAAACAAATGCAAAATAAACAAAAAAAATATCATGTGGATAACGAAAGTACAAACTATAAATGAATAACATAAATATTACTGAACCTAAAGTGAATCTCGTTACAAACAACTCAAATACCCTACAGCCGTAAACAGTTTGTTGTGTTTTAAGGCTGAATCAGACAATTATCATCATAACACAATACCATAAATATCAAAATCCTCCTCGCATGTTAATATACACCACAATACAGCGATATAAGACACCCGCCTCCAACAACACAAGCCAGGAAGTTACCAGAAGACTTTGTAGACCTGGCAAACGCTCGGCGGGAAACAGGAAATGCGACAGGAAGACCTCGTAATAGTGCTTTTCTGCCTCTTATGGTGTTTGGTGTTTGGATGCTCCTTTAAGTTTCCAGGCGGAGGCGGTGTTTTGTTGAAGTTGAGGAGGAGTTAAGTTCAAGTTATTAGCCTAAGTTTCTACATAATAATTATCATCTCACGTTTCAATGGTTCCTCAAGGGATGATGGAGAGGTAATTGAAATACTTGTTTTTGAAGTGAGGTTATTCTTCCAAGGTCTGGGAGTAGATCTTGAGAACGTAAGGAAACTGTACTGTACAACTCAAAGGGGTTAGGGGGGGGGGGGTAGGGATTTAGGCTAGGAGCGGTGTTGGTTGGTAGTGGCGTCGGATATAGCCCTGTCTAACCGAATTAAGCTTCTACCGACCTCTGCTGACCTCACCCGACCTCGCCCGACTTATATTTAATGTGGCTCTACCTTATATAGGCCTTAGATTGATATAGAATCGATTTTTCACGCATAGCTTATGGTGTGGTAGATAGACAGACACTATGTTAGCTGAGGTAGAATAGCTTTTTTAGACGGGGAGAGAGAGAGAGAGAGAGAGAGAGAGAGAGAGAGATAAATAGAAAAAATTCCAGTGATAAAAATAGAGAGAAAGAAAGACAGGAGCAGAAAGAAAGAGACAGGATGAAAGATAAAAAAGTAAAAAAAAAGAATAGTAAGCTCTTTTTTTTTTCTTCTATCTTATTTAGATTTCAATTTCGGGGATAAATACACTGAACAACTTTTAAGAGTTTCGTATGCACACAACTTTTTCCAGAGTTAAGATACACTCATACATGACTTACCTTAAATCCATAACTCTATTCGCACTCGCATGTTGGAATTAATGTTTATATACACAGATCCGCTAAAGTTTATATCATTCGTACAAATCCGATGAAATTCGAGTTTACGCTTTCACAGCTATTATAATTTAGGTTCGTAGCTACGCATTCGGCAAAGTTTTAGGTTCGTGACTACACATTCGGCAAAGTTTTAGGTTCGTGACTACACATTCGGCAAAGTTTTAGGTTCGTGACTACACATTCGGCAAAGTTTTAGGTTCGTGACTACACATTCGGCAAAGTTTTAGGTTTGTAACTACACATTCGCCAAAATTTAGATTCATACCCACATATATTCGTACCCAACATACTTTCTCGTTTTCTTAACATCTCTGCACCATTATGTAAACGACGTAGAATCTGTATTGCTATTTGTACAACTCAAAGGGAACTTACTCCATGTTTACTCTCCCACAGAGACCTGAGCGACAACCATCTCCTAACACTGTCTTGGCGTATCCTGTGGCCCGCCTCTCTCCTCAGGTGAGTTGGTGCTATCGTGACTTACCTGTGTGAGTTGTCTCTGTCATCATCATCATCATCATCATCATCATTGTATTCATTATTATTATCATCATTATAATTATCATCATCATCATCACTTACCATCATCGATATGCTATTAGTTACGTATCTTGCTATCGATCTATACTATTTACAATATATGTTACACTATATAGGGATAATAACTGATTAGCGATAACTTCTATGTATCTACCTTTTCTCGAACCTTCTGGCTGGTCATAAGCGATCAGACACATCATAGGAATATACTGTATGCATTAACGAATAGCTTCATACTAAACCTAACCTAACCTAACCTAACCTAACCTAACTTACAACAAAAGGTAAAATTTGGTTATCTTATGACGGTAAACGACTTAAATGAGACAAAGCAATTTTTTTCCTTATGCAAAATAATTTTCTTTAAGTCACAACAACAGAAACAAAAAGTTATCCCTATCTGGCAAAAACGAAAGAGCTCCCTTTCTCTATCTCTCTACTCTCTCTATCTGTCTATATAATTATCTTTCTCTCTCTCTCTCTCTCTCTCTCTCTCTCTCTCTCTCTCTCTCTCTCTCTCTCTCAAACGACTACTGAGAAAGGATCAGGAAGTCGCTCTCCCTGACATGACTCTCCCCTGTGTTTAAACTCTGTAATGGTTCAGTAACTTCACTTGAAAATCCCGCTTTTTTCCCTCCTTTCTTTGCGCTGCGTCCCATTTTCTTACGACGAGCCGCATTTCCCCCACCTTCTTAGAGATAGATCCAATTTTCTCTCATTTCTTCAGATATATTTAAGTTTTCGTTTACCTTCTTAAAGACCGGTTCAGTTTTCTCGAGTTAAAACCAAATTTCTCGAAGGATTTCCAGTTTTTCGTATTTTTACTGACACCCGATTGTTTTTCGAACCTTATCAAGCAAAACCAATCTTCGTGAGATAAATCAAATTTTGTTTTTTCTGAATTTAAATATAGATGCAGTTTTCATACACTTGCTGGTCAAAATTAATATTCTCAAGATAGGGGTTGGGTGTAAACTCGGCTACCTAGTATGGGCCAATAGATCCGCTGCAGTTTCCTCCATTCTTTTGTTCCTAATGAATCTTTGTCGAGAGGCAGTAAGAATATGTGTTTTGGTGTCAATAAACATAGACATTTTAGTTGTACTCCCACTGTGTTCTGCACTTAAGATCTGTGATTAGAGCAGCTGCAGTAGTAAAACAATGTAGATATTTCTGTTGAGTGCAATGTAAACTTTCGTGTAGGTGAGTATCATCAAGTGAATGTGTGTTACTAGAGAGAGAATGATGAATAGGTTATTAGTATGGAGTAAAAACAGAGTAGGAGCAGGAACTGAGCCTTGAGGTACTCCAGGTTTAATAAACATTGTTAAAAATATAAATAGTTCACAACTTTAGGGATATTTTTGAGATATTAAATCCATAGGGAGAGCTCAGATAAGTATCACTATCAAATATATCCACAAAGGCGTCCCCTTACTAAAGACTGAAGATATTTGAAGCAAGACGACTTAAACTGATGGAGGTTAAATGACATAGGAAAAGAGATCCACATGATTAATCTAGTCGAAGGTATATATGAGTTTTGAGAGGCAGAGGTTCGGTAGAATGGAATTTCAAGAGATAAGTTATGGGTCCTCCCAGATGGCTTCGTGGGCCGATTGAGGACGCGTGGGGATGGCAACATTGGGTGTAGCTTGGAGAGAGATAGAGAAGAGATTATCCATGACATTAATGAATCAAGGAGACCAAAAGAAGGAAATATAGCAAAGTCAAGCTGAAACCAAACCTTTGTCAGAAGCTTAAGAAACATAAATAAACGAAGTAGTTGTAGGATCAGTAGGATCAGTAACAGTAGTGTAAGAGTAACAGCAAGGTAACATCAATGGCTGTAGGATCAGTAGCAGAAGTAACGCCAACAATAATGTAGCAGCAACGACAACAGCAATGGGGCAGCAATCATCGTAAGAGCAACACCAGGAACCACAAGGACAGAAGGAGGTGTGGGAGAGGAGGAGGGGAGGGAAGAGGAGAGGGAGTGTGGGAGGGAGGAGGGGGAGCATACAAGGGGAGGAGGGACGACAGGGAAGAAGGAGGGAGTGTGAAAGGGAGGAGGGTGTGAAAGAGAGGAGGGAGGTGTGGGGAGGGAAGGGAGGAGGGGAGCGTGGGAGGGAGGAGGGTGTGGGGAGGGTGGAGCGGGTTGGAAGGGGGGTTAAAGCTGCCTAGCATTCTAGCTCACCTGCTCTTTCAATGTGTGTGTGAGTGTGTGTGTGTGTGTGTGTGTGTGTGTGTGTGTGTGTGTGTGTGTGTGTGTGTGTGTGAGTGTGTGTGTGAGGCATGAAAAGAGAATATGCGAATGAGTTTTAAATGTGTTGTTTACATTACCATCATCGCTTACGTATCCAGTTTTTAACTCAACTAACTTTATATACAAACTTCCAGCTCATATCTCTCTCTCTCTCTCTCTCTCTCTCTCTCTCTCTCTCTCTCTCTCTCTCTCTCTCTCTCTCTCTCTCTCTCTCTCTCTCTCTCTACATTACCAGCATATTTTTTTTTCCTTTACTGGAGGTAGTTTTCTAACCCTTGTGTATGGTGTCGCCTCTGAGCTAAATAAATCATCTGGCGTTAACTAAATGAAAGTGGCGTCCCTGTATGAAGTGGGTAAAAACATTTATAATTTACCTTTAAAACAAAATAAATGAAATGTTTTTTATAGATAAACACACAAAAATTATTATTCTATTAAGTATATATATTTTACTTTTGAAATAGGATGACTATTTTCCTTTAATAAAGAGAGATACACAGACAGACTGAGATACAGACGAAAAGAAAGAGACAAGGCACTGAGAAAATACGAAGAGTGAAACAAAGAGAAGTGAAGAGAACTGATGCAGCAGAGACAGAGAGAGAGAGCGAGAGAGAGAGAAAGAGAGAGAGAGAGAGAGAGAGAGAGAGAGAGAGAGAGAGAGAGAGAGAGAGAGAGAGAGAGAGAGAGAGAGAGAGAGTGAGATGAAAAATGTTTAGCCTAAAACCTCAAAGCTAATATTTAGGTTGACGACACAAGCCTAGAGAAAGATTAATGACCCTCTTTTTTGTTCTTCAATATTTCCATAGCCATAGTCTCAGTGTTAGGTTAGGTTCGGTTAGGTTAGGTTAGGTTAGGTTATATAGAGGATAAGTTAATGGGGTCATATTAGGCCATAGTAAGTTAAGTTTGATTAGATTATGGTGTAAGGGTAAGTTTGGTTATATTGGGTTAGATTAGGTTCTGAGTTAGGTCAGGTTAGGTGAGGTTGAGTTAAAATATGTTAAGAGCACGTTAGATTAAATTATGTTGGGGATATGTTAAGTTAAATAAGGTCAAGTTAAGTTGTGTTCAGTTTAATTAAGTTAGGTCAAGAATAAGTTAGGTTAGATCAAAGTCGGTGAGTGTGTGTGTGTGTGTGTGTTTCATGGTAGCTCCTGATCCTGTAAATTAAAACCAGACAAACGAACAGACAGAGTAGCGAATAGACAGACAGACAGACAGACAGACAAACAGACAAACAAAATACTATACAGATCGACAGACAGACAGACAGACAGACAGACAGACAGACAGACACAATAGCAGACATACAGACAGACAGACAGACAGACAGACAGACAAACAGATAAATACAAACCGAAATCGAACCCAATTACAGGTAGCCTTAGAGGCTATTCAAGCATCACAACAAGAAACACATCAAACAGACGCGCTACTAATTAAGCCCCTACTAATTACACTCTGGGCAGGTAAGGTTCCCATAATCACCTGTGTGCCGACCCAAAGGGAACAATATTATTATTATCATTATCAGTGTCAACAACAGCAGTATTGAGTGTCCTAAAGTGGTGAATATTCTGTGGAGAGAGAGAGAGATAGAGAGATAAAGAGAATAATGAAGAGAGAGAAAGAGATATTACGAGAAGATAAACAGAAAGGCAGACAGGTAGTCATAAAAATGCAGAAAAAGAGAGAGAATGAAATTTAAAGAAAGAAAAGAAGGAAGACTGAGATTTAAAAGTATTCACCACCAAAGATTCAAACATTCAACATTAAAGGTTTAAACATTCACAATCAAAGATACAAACATTCACCTATTCATCATCAAGGGTTCAAACATTCACCACAACATTCATCATCAAACATTCACTACAACATTCACCACCAAAGATTCAAACATTCAACATTAAAGGTTTAAACATTCACAATCAAAGGATCAAATATTCATCATCAAAGGTTTAAACGTTCACTATCAAAGATACAAACATTCACCACAACATTCATCATCAAGGGTTCAAACATTCACCACAACATTCACCATCAAGGGTTCAAACATTCACCACAACATTCATCATCAAACATTCACCACAACATTCACCATCAAGGGTTCAAACATTCACCACAACATTCATCATCAAACATTCACCACAACATTCATCATCAAACATTCACCACAACATTCACCATCAAGGGTTCAAACATTCACCATAACATTCATCATCAAACATTCACCACAACATTCACCATCAAGGGTTCAAACATTCACCACAACATTCATCATCAAACATTCACCACAACATTCACCATCAAGGGTTCAAACATTCACTACAACATTCACCATCTAAGGTTCAAACATTCAACAACAAAGCGAGAAGAGATGAAAGTACTGTTTAATGGCTGCGTAATTATATCTTCATTTTACCATTACAAAACCCAACCTATTTGCTGGTGGTTTAAAAAAATGTTAAATCATCGTAATTAATTTGATTTAATAACATCTAATTACGCACTGAAAAGCCTAAAATTACTTTATTCTCAAAAAGACTTGACAAATTTAATGTTTATTTTATCACGTTGACAGTCTAAAATCACCCCAATGACAGTTTAAAATCACCTCAATGACAGTTTAAAATCACCTCAATGACAATTTAAAATCACCTCAATGACAGTTTAAAATCACCCCAATGACAGTTTAAAATCACCTCAATGACAGTCTAAAATCACCTCAATGACAAGCTATTATTGTAACTTGTTTATTGAATATGTAGGAATGGTTGATGATTAGAGTTGTATTTTTCTTAGGAATTTCTAGTCGTATATACTCACATACAGGCACATACTATTCGTACATACACACATAGGTTTAGGGATAACCACTTTATGGCGATAGATTCAATATAAATCTGATTTATTTTTTACTCGAAATATGGAATTGATGTGTCCAAAAAGTCAGTCATGTAGATATATGTATTTTAAAAGTAATACTGATTTTTTTCTTTAATAACCAAATTTAAAATAATCTTATATAATATAATTTGCCTAACGTAATCTAGTTAATTTAGGTAATGTTTTTAGATATCGAGGGACTCTGAATGATATTTAGTCCATTTACCATATATGTACTATTTTTCACGGACTAATAACAATAATGACAATAACAAAATGTTGTTTAAATTTAGCAACAGATTTTGTTTCAGTTTTAGTATATAACAAGATGGCCATATTCCTCAAAGGAGTGAGCGTGTGTTTGTGTAAATTTTCGATAACTCATTAATATGCAAAAATTTCCCTTTACTCCAGGTCGTCAGGCATCACAGTATAATATCATAACATGTTTACTTCCTCTCTCCTCTCTACCTCACTAGAGACTCACTGCGTCACATCAACACATCAGGCAACCCTCTGGCGCCGGACGACTGCAAGAACGTGTGGCTGCAGACCTGGTGGCAGCAACAGATTTGTCAGACGCAGAAGACGCGGCCCGAGAAGACATGGCGAGAGGAGAGCACTAACACAGGTGGACAGGGGGAGGCAGAAGCAGTGGCGGGGGGTTCTTCGAAGAGGGAGACTGAGCGTGGAGAGGCAGCTGGGAGAGATAACTTATTAGATATGTTTGCCAACTCGACGACCAACTCCACCACAGACGACTGCTCGCCACCCGGCACCACCACCACCTCCACCTGTTGTAAGTTCCGCTGTCTTGGTTTGGTGACACTGTCCTTTGATAACTGTTAGCTTTAGTAACCTCTTAGGACTACCGACACCGTCCTTGATAATGAGTTAGTTTCTAAGTTTATCATCACTACCACTTAGGCGTCATCCTCAAGTTACCGGCATCCTCGGAGGCCTGGGTTTTCTCACTGACACGACTTGAAACTTTCCTCAAAGACATAGAAAGATTCAAGTCTCTTTCTCGTCGGTGTTGTGGGGAGAATTTTAATGGTGATTTCTCTATTTTTTTATTGATTTAAAATGGTGGCAGTGACTGGTTGAAAGAGACTTGGGACAGTCACCGTTGATCAGAACTATCGCTGTATCCTCTACCTGTGGTGCAACGGAGCACTATTGGAGGCGTAAGGTTGGAGAACGTACAGTACACCTGGCAGAGCTGCCATAAGCGCATTATTACAGATTGGAGAGGGGAAGCCTAACGATATATATATATATATATATATATATATATATATATATATATATATATATATATATATATATATATATATATATATATATATATATATATATATATATATATATATATATATATATATATATATATATATATATATATGTGTGTGTGTGTGTGTGTGTATATATATATATATATATATATATAATTTTTTTTTTTGCTGAAACTGTATTTTGCTAGTGCTTTTTTGTGAGCGCTGGGCTTGTTTTTTTTCTAGTTCCAGCATTATTTATCGTGCTAGTGCTGTTTTTGTTTGGAAAGGGAAGGAACGCTAGTGCTGACACTATATTTCAGTCATGGCCAGTGCGTTGTGTCGTGGTCAAGAGTATCCCCACACTCAGTTGATCAGTATCCTGTGTTGAGAACGAACGGTCCAGCATCAACATGAGGCGGGGAGGATTGTTACACTGGCCACTGACAATTACCTCTGTGTTGATCATGTGGACGCCTGGCAAACAGTACCTTGTATGACCAATATTCTGTTACACGGTGAGGTACTGACGTTAACCTGTGGAGTGAGAGAGAGAGAGAGAGAGAGAGAGAACAGAAACAGAAAAGGGATGAAAGTTTATATGCTCCTTGTCAGTCTCTCTCTCTCTCTCTCTCTCTCTCTCTCTCTCAAATATCAAGTAGAATAAGAAGAAGAGAAAGGGACACTCGGTAACTAAGATAAACTGAAGGTTGAGGCAGGCGGCGGGACCATCAAGGCGCCATTCTTGCACGAGTCACCACAAGAATACTAACCCAAGAACTCGATTCCGGGAAGTGGCGGACCCACTGAGAGCACCATCTGATACGTCTCATCTCCGGGTCGTAATTTAGCAGATTCTACATCTATGCGGGTGTAGCGTGTGTTGATTGGTCGTTCGCTACCGTGATGTTTGCTACTACAATTCATTTAACTAAGGAAAGACGTTTTATATAGTGAAGCTAACAGGGCAGAGAAGGGGTCATCAGATAAGTCGGAATACAATTTGGCTGAATCCACGCGTTTGCTGGCAAGAAGTGAGTTGATAGTTGCTTGGCTACCGTGACGTCTAGGAGTGTCGCTCTCACCACCACTCTCCCACATCTGTTGGCTGGCAGCAGATCCCCTCTCACATACTGTACACCAGACACAAACCCAGTGAAACGTTTATATTTTACCAAAGGAATGTAAATTAAGCTGTATCGAGATTGTTAACTGATGTGTATGATATGAAAATGGGATTTTGTTAAGTTTGGTCACAGTTTATTTCACCTAAATGCTAACCAAACCAGACCAAACCCCCACATAACGATAGGGTGTTTAATTATCAGGCGAAATAAGCTTCTGAAAATTAATAAAATACCCACACTGATATCAACGTCGTGTAGTGTTTACCGTGACTCTGCAGTTTAACATGGTCCTGTCACCTGGCCAAACAAACCAAGACTGGCAACCCGCCACCAGCACCGAGCAATTTCCTATATAAATATTGAAATAACATTGTGTTAAATACCAAACATAGGAGAGAAAATATTATAAAGTTCTATACACATTTTAATATTTTTAGCGTCAGGTATTTGATCTGTGACTAACACGGAGATTCCTGAGTCCTTCTGGTGTAGTGATGCACCTAATGACATCCGTGTGCTCCTTTCTCATAACAGCACAAGTAACCCCAAAAGACGTTACCAAATACCGTATTTTTTTTCTGTATTTCTGTGGTAGTTAGTGAAGTACAGTTCCCTTCACTAGTGCGTTTACAGGGGCCTCTCATATAAACATTCCACAAATCATTATCTTTGAGATATTTCTTTTAATATTGCTTTAATTTGATTCCATAGTATGTTTACTATTGCTAGTTTCCTTCTGTCGAATGTAAGCAAACAGCGCTGCCACACTGCATAAAATCTGACTAGCCCTTGTAAACGCACTCGTGAAGGGGACTGTACTTAATAAAATACTAACAGATTATAAAAGAAGTGTCTCCAAATATTCAATATTTAGGTAGCAAATGTCTTTTTCAGATAATTTAAACAAAGGAAGAGAATATAGTTTTTCCCACGAATTGGTGAAATTTATTGTTCCACACCTTAATACGATGATAGTCTATTGAGGTCTGGGGGTCTGGGATTGTCAGGAGGGAGGAGTTATCAGGGGGAGGAGTCTCAGTTGTCAGGGGGAGGTTCTAGAGCCATACACTACACAAACTACTCTGACAAGCTCCCATGATAACAACATTTCCCAAAGTTCAGAAACTCTTACCCCAAAAAAACCAAAACCTCACTTCCCTTGTACCGTTTTCTTTACTTGTTCTTCCACCGAGATGGTCACAAGTACGTCAGTCACAGGAGGTAAACAAGAGTATATTAATCTCCAGGAAGCCTCAGAAGTTTAAGCACTATACTATCATAAGAGTATGAGTATAAGTCTCCAGTAATCCTCATAAAAGCTTGATTATTATTTACCAGGAAACCTCATTGAAGCTTGAGTATTATTGTTCAGGAATACTCAAGTGAACTCAACGGTAGATCATAAATGGAATATTTCATTGCTTCATATAGTTAGTAGTTTAACTTTACAGGGAACAGTTCATATAGGTTATGTCTGGGGTGTCATACACAGCCATTCTCTTCCTTCTTACTTTTGGTTTTGATTGACTTTTGGGTCTTTCGTTCTTTCAGTCTATCTTTTATTTCATTCATTTATTCATCTCCGTTATCCTTCTCCTCTTTTTTTTCTCTTCCTGTCTTTCTGTTGTTGTTTCGTATTTTTTCTTCTCTCTCTCTCTCTCTCTCTCTCTCTCTCTCTCTCTCTCTCTCTCCTAGCCTGATTGTCATATTTTCCACAACAAGAAACAGACTGGTCACATCGAGACCTTCTGCCTCATTACCCACCTTTTACCCATTAAGTGAATCCAAATCTTCATCCTCGTCAGCGAATACGCTAAACCACTCAGAAGAATATTCCATGAAGAATCAGATTAAATTAAAGAGGATTGACTTTTATCACACGAGGAGAAAATTTATTCCTAGGAAAGAAAGGTCATGTTTTTTTGTTTGTTTTTTTAGTGAATAGATTTTTGTTTTCATACAGTAAGAAAAATTAGTAAATTAATCAGGTGTATAAGCGTAAAAAAGAAAGATTTACTTTTTTGTTCCATTAAGAAAAAAAATTATTCTAAAAAAAAATTTAATATATTTTTTTGAGTCACTAGTTTTAATTATACCAAAAAGAAGACCAATAAAACGAGTTCCTTCGAAATTAGAAAATACTGATATTGTTTTAGTGAAGACAGTAACATTATCTTTACCTCATATGACAAATTAATACCAAATAAATTAAAAACTCTCCTTAATCGGATGTTGTTAAATGATAATCCTCTTATGGCATCAGGCTTATAATTACCAGAGCCTTATTATACAGCGTAAATACTCGTGAGATGGAGTGCTTTTTTTTACCTGGATTTTATATATTATTAACCTATCCTTTTTACCTGTGATTAGAGGTTAATGTCGCGTCTCTTTGACTCCCGTGGTTTACAAATTTCTCTTAATATTTGGCGATGAAATTAGTTAACACTGAGGTGAATGTGGCATGTATAATAAGTTAGTTACGTCTCTTTACTTGGATGAAGATATGCGTAGGTAATGTAAGGGTATAAATCTTACTTTTCTTTCCCGTTCCTCTCATTCTTCTTCCATCATTCTTCTCTCCCTCTGTGTTGCCCCTCATTCATTCTGATTGTTCTACACCTTCTCTACCCCCTTATTTCACTCTCTCAACCCTACACCAAACAGAGAGAAAGAGAGAGAGAGAGAGAGAGAGAGAGAGAGGAAAAAGTGTATTAAATAGATACGTGGTAATTGCTACTGATCTTGTTGCCGGAGGAACGTCATTTGAAAGCAAATATTATGAACGTGTTATCAGGTTGACCTTGACATTATGTGAAGGACTGTGTTATAATCTTCTTTTGACCTCGACGTGGCTACAAGTCGAGGTACACGTACAAATACAGTAACAAGTACAGGTCGAGTGGAATGGAATTACAGGTACAAGTACAGGTCGAGTAAGATAACAACAATACGGGTCACAGTACTAAGAAAACATGAATACAAGTAGAGTACAAGACCAGGTGAAAATACAGGTATAGGTACTAGTAATTTAGACCATGAATATAATGTAGCTCTAACATGAAGGTCTGTGGCCGTCACTTACAGATTTGTGTCCGGCGAGGCTGACGGTGGCGGTGAAGGCGGCAGCCATAGGCGAAAAGGACTCACCTTCTTGCAGGAAGTTTGTGGCCGAGTGTTCTGCTAGAGGCCGACCTCTCCCTCGGGTGAGTATCTCTATCTATCTATCTATCTATCTGTCTGTCTGTCTGTCTGTCTGTCTGTCTGTCTGTCTGTCTGTCTGTCTTCTCGTCTCTTCTCTTCTCTTCTCTTTCAGGTATTGTTTGTCTGTCTTTTTCCTTGTTATCTTTATCCTTCTATCTCTCTCTCTCTCTCTCTCTCTCTCTCTCTCTCTCTCTCTCTCTCTCTCTCTCTCTCTCTCTCTCTCTCTCTCTTTCTCTCTCTCTGCCATTGAAGACCGCAGGTAAAAATACACCCAAACTATGAATCTTTTATCTGTGTAGACCAGCGAGGTTAGGAAACATGTTAAAGACGACACACCATGTGGTAGTCCAGGGGCAAATACCTCAGAGAGTGAGTGGGTGAGAGATGGGAAACGAAAGAAGGAAATCAGAGAGAGAGAGAGAAGAAACGAAGGAAAGAGGAAGAGAAAAATGAAAGGAGAGAGAGAGAGAGAGAGAGAGAGAGAGAGAGAGAGAGAGAGAGAGAGAGAGAGAGAGAGAAAACTATACATGGTTGAGTTGCAGGATCACACAACACAACCTCAACACAAACGGGATACAATAGGTCCAGGTGAGTCCAGGTATAAGTCGACAAGTCCAGTAGGTCCAGGTAGGCCAATTAAGTCCAGTACAGTAGGTCTAGCAGGTTCAGGTGTGTCCAATAGTAGGTAGGTAAAGTAGGTCCTGGTCGATCCAGTAGGGCCAGTAGGACGAGTCCAATAGGTTCATGAGGTCCAATAGGTCGAGCTCAGTAGGGCCAGTTATTCAGGTAGGTCCAGGCCCCACTACCAGAATAGGGTCCGATCATACTTCCCTATGGCCATTATCCCATGACAACTGGGTGTAGCCAAACCTCCCCAGGAAGAGGAAGGCAAACCACTGAGAATCGACCTCTGATCCTCGAGATGTTGATGAGTTGCGTCCACACATCAAGTCTCACTCAAATTCGTGTATATACATTCGAGTTGTAGTGTTTATAACTCAGATTCAAGACGCAAAACAGCTCACTTTTTAACAACAATTCCAAGCCCCTTGTTGTTTGGTGGTGGGGATAAGAACGAGATAGAGTTACAAAAGTGTTTTTTCTTGATAGTTAAGTAGCTTACGATGGTGACGGATTAAGATGATCTTCCTAAACGAGGTGGCAGTGAAGAAACTCCCGGGAAGTGGGTCTCTAATTTGAGGTGATTGTGTGTGGTGTGTCAATAACAGAGGACTTGAAGGATGGTGTTTGTGTACGTGGGAGCCTTCGTGGTAGGATGAAGCCCTTGGATACAGGGATATATATCTCTATGTTGAGTAAAATTGTTTGTCGTTAAAAAAATAAATTATTAAAGGTGGCATCCAGTAGTGAAGGGCTTGAAGGGGGGAGAGGAGGGATGTCGAAAGCAACTAACGTACATACGCACTGAACTTTGTGATTCCGAACTCAGGCATACAGCCTTACTTAGCAACAATAACAAGAACAATAATTACTACTACTACTACTACTACTACTACTACTACTACTACTACTACTACTACTACTACTACTATTACTACAAATACTACTACTACGACAAAATAGAATGATTATTATATATTTTTTTTTATTTGCGATAAAGGATATAAATTCCAAGCAAGTGACGTGACGTGTCGGGTAACAGTTATCTTAAGGGAGAAGAAAAAGAGAATGAATAGGATTGTTTTTTTCACCAGTGAGGCACACAGCATGAGGGGTCCATTGCAACATTTTAAGTGGAAGGCATAGATTACTGAACCGTTCCTGCCCTCTCTCTCTCTCTCTCTCTCTCTCTCTCTCTCTCTCTCTCTCTCTCTCTCTCTCTCTCTCTCTCTCTCTCGCTCTCTCTCTCTCTATCTATCTCTCTCAGGGTACAATTGTGTGTCAGAGAGTTTGCATTCTTGCTCCTAGAAACAAGAGATGACCTATTTCTGAGAATGTTCAACAACAGCAGCAGCAGCACACCCGTTCTCACCCTTTGATCGAACCTGTGTCCTTTGATCTATGAGTTTGGCTTGTGAACACTACATGTTACACCCGACGCTACTCAGGGCACACACACACACACTCACACACACACACACACACACACACACAAATCGTTCATACTCAAACATATAAACAGACACAGACATACACACTTAATTGTCTACCTCAGCGCTTCTTCCCACCTCAACTCACCTCACCAAAAAACCAAGCTGCAAGGATTGTTGTTCAACTCACCACGATTGACATACAGTGACAATTTAAACATGAAAAGAATGGAAAAACTTGTGGTGACAGAAGAAACATCAGTCAGGTACCAGACCACAGGAAGGTGTCGTAGGGAGACAGTATCAATATCTTCACTACCCGAATATAAGTTAGCTCACAGGTCAAGAAAATAACAATCATAAGACATACATACTGTGACTCACGGTGTAAAATTATCTATACGTGATGTGTGATAATTTATTTACCATTAACTCTTCCTGTGTGACAGATTGAGTGGGGCGTCCCTGGGGTACTGGTGCTGGTGGAGAGACACGATAGAAACTCCTCTGACAACACCACCGTCACCTCCACCATCACCCTCGCCTACAACATCACCGGAGTCACCTACCCCTCCCATATCTCACCTCAGACTCTCGTTTGCTCCGCCCAGAACGACAGATTTATCAGCGTGGAGGAAAGAGATCTAAGTGAGTGGTTAGTCTCGGTTGTGCCTAAAGGTGCAATACTGGATAATGATTGCCTTTGTGTGGGTGTGACTTGCCTAATTTAAAGTAAGGGTTGGTTTATCATTCACTTTTGTCTAGAGATAAAAATATTTATTATCAATTACAAGAAACAATTAATTTTCTATTTCATAAGAGTACAATAATTATGTTAATTTTTGTTTATATTATATGATGAGTTAACATGAGTGATGTGGCCAGCAGATATAGAACGCGATGTGGTGCTCAAACCAACCATCTGCTGGACACAGTTTGATAATAACCACAGAGAGAAAGTCAACTTCAAGGCCCAAGCAACGCCCTCCTTCACGCTCAGTTGGTGGTTCCTCCCGTGCAAGCCCTACAACGGGAGGACATTCTCTGGCAACCAATTGATTTACTACGTGCGTGGCAATAACTACACATCCTACATCGAAGGTGAGGAAATCATCTCACTGTAAAATATCTGCCTGCATGTAAGGCTGAGTTACCTGTATCCTGAAGAAGGGGGTGCTGAGGGTGGACACCTGGGTGTTACTTCTTAGATCTGTCTAAGAAGATATATTGGGGACGGTGGACTACTGCAGAGAGCTCTTTATAGTACGATAAAATTTTCCTCTCTGTAAACACCTTTTACCGACTTGCCAGACGTAGGAAAACCTAATTCCATCCACACTAGTACTTACATAAAAAAAAAACCACCCTACTATCTAATCTAATAATTTACAAATGTTTATTATAAACTACAACATCCAAAATATAACCCAAACAACATTAAAAACGGGTTGGGTTAGATTGGGTTAGGTTGGGTTAGGTTAGGTTTGGTTAGGTTAACATGGGTGCGGTAGGCATCTCGTGTCTGAGCTATCTGTCTATCCATTACCTGTGACGGTGAATATGACTGATACTCTTCTGAAGAATATCTGTCGTGAGCGTCAGCCTGGTTACGTAAGGTACCCGTCGCTACAGACCTGACAGGCTTTTACCGGGATTACTCCGTCGACACTCCCGCTGCTGGGCGCCGGGGAGAAGGTTTAAGAGGTTGAGGACGATCTACCTGCATGTGGGAGGTCGAGGTATAACTGACTACTTGTGGGAGGTCGAGGGATAACTGACTACTTGTGGGAGGTCGAGGTATAACTGACTACTTGTGGGAGGTCGAGGTATAACTGACTACTTGTGGGAGGTCGAGGTATAACTGACTACTTGTGGGAGGTCGAGGGATAACTGACTACTTGTGGGAGGTCGAGGTATAACTGACTACTTGTGGGAGGTCGAGGGATAACTGACTACTTGTGGGAGGTCGAGGTATAACTGACTACTTGTGGGAGGTCGAGGTATAACTGACTACTTGTGGGAGGTCGAGGTATAACTGACTACTTGTGGGAGGTCGAGGGATAACTGACTACTTGTGGGAGGTCGTGAACACTTTCAAATGTTACCAGAATATTTACGAAGATTTTTTGCTAAAATTATTATATTACAAACTGAAGGAACTAACCGTCTAAGGATCATCTGATGATTAGTCCCCTTATTATTAAATACTCATGGTACCTGGGGGTTAAGTTAGGTTACATTAGGTTAGGTGAGGTTAGGTTAGGTTAGGTTAGGTGATCAGATGTTGTCGAGGCTCCCCATCTGTCCTTTATTTTTTTTCATTATAACCAAATTAATTAACGTGTCTCCCTGTTTTTCCTGTCTTTATATACCTCCTCCTCTTTATCGGGGTTTATCTGTGTTTGCCCCTCCCCCTTTGTTTATTTCTTGCTTCCTATGTATTAGGGTTCATGTGTTTATTTCCTCGCGTCTGTTCCTTTGTTTAATCTCCCTCTCTCTTGGTCTCCCAGGCATTGTGTTATGTGTTAACTCCTTATTTATCCCCCATTCCAGCCTTCTTCTTCCTTCTATTATTTTATCTTGTTTATCAGTTTTATCTATGCCCTCGTTATTCCTCTCCTTCCGCTAAAGGATCTCCCTTCTTCGTATATTTTTTATATCTTGTTTATCAGGATATATTTGTTTTATTATCCTAACTGTTTATCTCTTTCTCCTCCAAGGTGATCTGGTGTTCCCCAATACGATGGGTGGAGCCAAGAGTGGCAAATACGAGCTCAAGATCAGCAACTCCTTCGGTGAGGATAGCGTCACCCATCTCCTGTCCCGACGCCCTTACCCGAAACATTGCGATCCCGAACCCGGCTTCCAGATCTACCCTGAGCAGAGCTGGTCACCCCTAATTCCAACCATTATCACCCCGACACCTACTACTCCTCCCCCGACCCCCTGCCTTCCCCTAACCACTTCCACTACCACCACCACAACTACTACCACTACTACCACCACCACTATCACCACCGCCACCACTGAGTTGCCGGAAACAACGATGACGATGGGTCCTCCTCCTCCTCCTTCGCTGTCAATCATGGTGAGGAATGGTTGTCTATCTGTCTCTCTCTTTCTCTCTTTCTTTGATGTTACTAGTCATTACTATTCTACGATCATGATACAGAAATATTATCTCTCTCTCTCTCTCTCTCTCTCTCTCTCTCTCTCTCTCTCTCTCCTCATCTGATGAATCATTTATTCTGTGAAATTTCAAGGATTTACATCTCTTCCAGTGTTTAGGAAGGCTCTTGCAGTCTCCCATTCACTGAGGAGTCTTTGGGTAATCAGCTTTTCGTCAAAGTAAATTTCAGGTAGTGGAGGGCAGCCAAAGTCTTATTCTCATATTTATTTAGTGTGTGTGTGTGTGTGTGTGTGTGTGTGTGTGTGTGTGTGTGTGTGTGTGTGTAATAATAATAATAATAATAATAATAATAATTAACGGTTTATTGAAAGAGCTTGGCAGCCAGAAGGCTGAAAATATACAGTTACATATTTGGGGGATAGGTTACGAATTACAAATAATATACAAGTAACATAAGTGACACAAATAAGACATATAATAACTAGATGGGGAAAAGCTCAAACTACAGTTCATTTCAACATAGTGACAGTGTAAGGAGCAGTGTGTGTGTGTGTGTGTGTGTGTTTGTGTGTGTTTAACCTCGTAACTTCCATTGATCTTTATTTGCCCCTTTAACATAACACAACCTCATATACCTGACCTTTGACCCTGGTAGCTTACGGTTGGCGCCTGCGTGTTGGTGATAGTGATTGGTGCGACGCTTCTGCTGCTGCGTAAACTCCGTCGGTCACGTGATGGACCCCACATGAGCTCTGACCCCTGTCCAGACTCACCTTTCCAAATCACCTTCATGTAAGTGTTTCACCTGAGCCTGTACAATCAATAATGTTATAAAAGAGAAATAAATTATCCTCAGAATTTTATTAATTATTCACTTATAAGCCATATACAACAAATCTGCTTTAAAGTCATTGTAAAGTGTTAAGTATTTAAAAAAAAAGTGAAAAGTGATAGTAATAGACACGTGGATTTAATAGTGAGTCAGCCAGACATAACCTGAGGGGTAACTATTAAAGCTGAATACAGTGATAAACATACCACCCTAGCTACACCTCAACAACAGCTAGCCTTCCCTCCTCCAACAACACCTACCCCCACCCCTCGCCCCTCCCCCAACAACACCTACCCCCACCCTCGCCCTCTCTCCAACAACACCTACCCCCTCACCCCTCCCTCCAACAACACCTAACACCCCCACCCCTCGCCCCTCCAACAACACCTACCCCCTCCTCACCCTCCTCCAACAACACCCCCACCCCCACCCCCTCGCCCCTCCCCCAACAACACCTACCCCCACCCCTCGGCCCTCCCCCAACAACACCTACCCCCACCCTCGCCATCCTCAACACCCACCCCCCTCTCACCCCTCCTCCAACAACACCTACCCCTCCCCACCCTCCCTCCAACACCCACCCCACCCCGCCCTCCAACAACACCCACCCCCCCTCACCCTCCTCCAACAACACCTACCCCCACCCCCTCGCCCTCTCCAACACCTACCCCCTCTCACCCCTCCTCCAACAACACCTACCCCCACCCCGCCCTCCCCAACAACACCTACCCCCACCCCTCGCCCTCCCCAACAACACCTACCCCCACCCCTCGCCCTCCCCAACAACACCTAACTCTCACCCTGGCCCTGACCTGTCCCTGAGGATAGAAAAGATTGTAATAGAAGCAGTGGGTGCCTGTGCAGGGATGAGGACTGTCAGAAGAAGAGCGACGGCCTACAGCTACAGGAGTTGATGCCCCTCAGTGCTGACCGGCTGGTGGAGAACCCGGAGTATATGGGCAATGGCAAGCTGTCTCCGTCCAGGCCACAGGTACGTGACGGAGGCGGTGACGGAGTGGTTTAGGGGGTGGGTTAAGGGGTGGGCTCTGAGGTGTGGGTTATGGGGATGGGTTATAGGGATGGGTTAGGGAGGGTTAAGGTGTTTCATTAATAATTTAAGGGAGGATTAAAGTGTTGGTTAATGGAGAATAAGGATTGGGTAAAGGGAAGAGATAAGGGGTGAGTTAAGGGGGTTAAAGGGGTAAGAGATAACACCGAAGATTAATATTGAAGTATTGTAAATCCTTTGGTTCTGTAAATATTAAGTTGTGTGCTTTTTTTCTTCATACTTTGGCACTTCTTGGCTTTCCTTTTCATTGTATCTGATTGTTATCTCTCTTTTATTGTCATCTTTCCATGAATGTTTTTACCTTATTCTCGACTCCAAATTTATCGTGTCCTCTATACATCTTTCTCTCCTTTTCTCTTATTCTCTCTTGTCCTCTTTCTCCCCCCTTTAATCTTTCTCTCTCTTTTTTTATTTCCCTCCTTTTATATCTTTCTTCCCTTTTCCTTCTATATCACACCCCTTCTTCCCTCCTCTTCTTCCTCTACCCGCTTCTTCTCTTCCTATCATTATCCTTTTCTTATAGTTTCCACCACATTATCTCTCTCTCTCTCTCTCTCTCTCTCTCTCTCTCTCTCTCTCTCTCTCTCTCTCTCTCTCTCTCTCTCTCTCCTCTCTTATTCAACCCGTTTCCCACGTCCCCTCACATCCTCTCTCTGCCTCCTCTCATCCTCCCACTTCTCCACGGCAGGCTCCAGTTATCCCTCGGGATCAGGTGAAGTTCGTGTCGGAGTTGGGTGAAGGAGCATTTGGTCGGGTCTACCTGGGGATCCTGGACGACGGCTGGGGACGACCAACACAGGTAGCGGTGAGTATTGTAGTACCGTCGTGTTTACCTGACAACGCCCCGTACTGGCTTCCAATTTACAGGAAGTGCAAACTTGTTGAGCTGCTGGAACTATACTAGCTTAATATAATGGACATATATGAGGATGTTTTAAAGGAGTACATTATATTTTCTCTTGTTTTTGTGTGTGTGTGTGTGAAAGATATAGACATTCGATACATTTACAGGTATAATATTTTTCTCATCAATACCTGTGCCCTTCATCAACACCTGCTCCCCTCATCAAACACACCTGTGCCTCTCACTAACACCTATGGCCCTCACCAAACACACCTGTGGTTTCTTTTTTCCTCCGGCAGGTGAAGACACTGAAGAGCGCGGGTCCGGAGGCGAGGCAGGAGCTGGAGAGAGAGGTGGAACTCTTAAACAACCTCAAACACAAGAACATAGTCAGTTTCTACGGCGTGTGTTACAACTCTGATCCTCTCCTCATGGTGTTCGAGTACATGGAACACGGAGACCTAAACAACTACCTCAGGTTAGTGTCTGCTAGTAGTGTGGGTAGGTAGTAGTGAGTGGTGTAGGTGGGTGTCTCAGTGGTGTAGGTGGGTGGCTGTCAATAGTGTATGATTAGTTGCTGTTGTATGATCACGGGCTAATCTAAGGAGAGTGGAGCGATTGTTATGGGAGTAGCTATGGGAAGGAAGTGTAAATGGATTTTGCTTTCGAATTGGATCCTGGGGGAAGGGGGGGAGGGGTCCGACCACAAGCTCCCCAACTCGCGGGTCAATCCTCAGTTTAAAGATAGGAAACTGAAATGTGGTAGGTGTGGGTACCCTAGGCGATCATACACTATATCTTGTCCCTCCCCTCGGGCGAAGGTGGTTAACTCAGGTAGTAACTTATAAGGGTGGTAAGGGAAGGCAGTGGTTATATGATAAGTACTGCTCCTCTAACCTAATATCCTGTGTTGGTTGGTTAAACAATTTCTCTCATGCCGTGTTTTTCGAGTTGCTAATTTACATAGAAAACGGAATATCTTGTAGGTCCTCCCGACACTTTAATAACTTCTCTCATTAACTTACTATATTAAAATATTCTCAACACGTTTTCTTTTTCTGTCTTGTCAACTCTGGTGAAAAAGCTTCAAGTTTAACATATAGAGTAACTGACATATCTATTAAGTCAGTGTTATTATCATCTAACACCTACTCACTACCTCCGTCTGCCACTACTACAGAAGCCACAACGAGGACGTGGTACTGTTGTCCGGAGAGGAAGCTTCCACGGAGCCTCTTTCCGTCATGGACTGTCTCCAGATTGCTCTCCAGGTGGCTGCTGGGATGAAGTACCTCGCCTCACAGGTACGGTGTGTGTGTGTGTGTGTGTGTGATTACCTAAAGTACTTTTCATGGACAAAAATTATACTCTGTATGTAACTAAAGCATCGATAATAATTCACCTCTTAACCTAAATAATAACTCATTGGAATTTATCGCAGTACACACACTGAGTCTTTGACAAAAAAATCAGCAAACTCAAATACACAAAATTACCTGGATCACATAAAGATTAAGCACCCCAGCTACCTTCACATGAAGATTAACCACTCTAACGCTAACCTAACTTAAACTCCCTAACTTAACTCCCCCAGTTAGCGTTAGTGTCGTTAATCTTCAGGTGAGATAAGCTAGATTGCATGATCCTTAGGTGCTTCCTTGTAACTTCTCTCATCTCTCACTTGTAGCATTATGTTCACCGGGATCTGGCCACGAGAAACTGCCTAGTGGGGGCCAACCTAGTGGTAAAGATCGGCGACTTCGGCATGTCCAGAGACGTCTACACCACCGACTACTACCAGGTGAGAACTGCGGCAGGAGTTGATTATTCTAACTCTAGGCCTAGGGGAAGGTGCCTCGCCTTACTCTAGGAGCAGCCGCCTTGTTTTACTCTTAGATGAGGTGTTTCTTCTCGATAGTCATCTATTCATTCTGTCGCCTCACCTCCTAGACGATGATTATTGTAAACCATGAGGACGTCGTCATTCCACATGTCCCGTCATTCTCAATTTAATAGGAAAAGGAACTCGTGTGTGGATCTGTCGTCCTCACCCTACTGCTGGAGATGTTGGAACTCACTATGGCATTTATCTGTGCATTTGTCGCTCTCATTCTGCCATTGTGAAGGGATGCGTTTTTGGATCACATGAAGATTAGCCCCCGACTTATTTCTCCTGATGATTAAACACCCTAACCTAACCTAACCTAACCTAACCTAACCTAACTTAACCTATATTTAAAGATTTATTTTTAATTTTGGGTGGATGGAAAGACATGAGGAAGAGGGAAGAATTCCATAGACGAGAAATATAAGGAATGAAGGAGGTTAATGATGATGGAGTTGGACTAAATAGAATACTCACGCATTAGGGGTGACATGAAGGCGAATGACCTAACTGAAAGGAAGGAGGAGAATGGACTGGATTTAATTAGCACAGTGATCATGGGAATTGTGATAGAAAAAAGAGAAGCAGGTGAACAGATCGTCTGACTTGAAGGGGAGGAAATGAGGAAAGAAAGGACTGGTTGATGATAAGGGGAATGGATGACTTTAGGGCTTAAGGACGATAACACAAATGACAACTCTATGGCGGAAGAAAGCGGAAGTAAGTGTACTGTAACAATGGAATAAAAAAATAGGGACTAAAGACGCTATCTTGTGTTTCTGTAGGGAAGAGAATGTGACGATATGATGACTGAAGATGAAATTGGATAGACCTTTTGTTCGTTTGGCTGAAGGGGTTCGGCTGAGTAACAAAGAACGAGTTTAAGTGACAGTAAAAATTTCTTACGCTGTTGTTAGTAAATGGAAATAAATTACTCTCTTGAACTAGATTGATGGATGAAAGTTTATTGAATAGTAAACCTAGACTTCAGGAGACGAAACAAATCCCCATCTTGGTATGAGCTGTGACATTTTCCCGGGATTATTCACAACTGATGGCACAACCTTCTTCTGCACCACTTACTGTAAGAGTCGGGTACCTGGAGAAGTGGGGAGAGAAAAAAGAATAAAAAGAATAAATACCAGTGATAAGAGATGGCAGATAAAGAGATAAAGTAAAGAGGAATATAGAAAACTTAAGGGATATTGGTCATGTGTGAGATGTATTGGTGTAAGTGGCTCTTAACTCCATCGGGAAGAAGTTTACTCTCTCGTCTCCCACAAGAACATCAGAGAAGAAGCCTTGCCTCCCTCGTCAAATATTGTGACTATATCAGCATCCATGAACCACTTCCACACCGTCAGGATAAATTATCATATAAAAGAAATTTGACTGGAATTTTCAATCTTTCTTGCCTCCAGAAGTGAGAATGCCGTCAAATACAGTCAACACCTTTTGTAACTCTGTATTCGATGTAATCCTCTGAGAACAGCCTCCAGCACCTCCTCACTTATCTCCCTCCTGTGCCAGTGACGTGTGAGGTCCCACTGTCTCGTCTTTGCCTCGTGGTGTGAGACTTTACCGTTCACAGTTGACAGCCGCTCTATCTGCCCTACTCCAGAGAGACACACTGGGTTACACCAATGGTTCACGCTGGAAACATTGCTTCTGGGATATTGTCTCCTACATACATACATACATACATACATACATACATACATACATACATACATACATACATACATACATACATACATGCATACATACATAGCACAGATTTACAGACACACTAACACACTTCCGAAAACCAATGTATCCTTGACTTTCTTATGTAATATTAATGTTCAGTTACCCACAACCTCCCCGGAAGAGATGAAAGCTGTAACGAACATCACACAACTGACTCCTTTCACCCTTCCTCTTGCTAATTGGCTGATATAGATCTCGTGTTACAGAAAAAAAAAAGTATGGTGATTGGTGGATGATGGCGCCCTTGCCCGATGATTGGTCGAAACAAATCACGTGGTATGAATAGGGGCTTATGGCGTATATATCGCTTCTCTCGCTGATTGGATGAAACAAATTTCAGTATGGAAGAAGTTATTTGGCATATGATGACGTCATTACTGTTGTTTGGCTCAAGAACCCCACAATGATGACGTTGACTATGTTGATTGAACCCCACAATGATGACGTTGACTATGTTGATTGGCTGACACATTTCACAGGGAAAACATTGATGACATAATATAATGAGACCAAACAATATAAACAGTTTGGCTGGATGGATGTACAGGAAATATTAAACTGTTAGACTGAAGAAATTTGAGAAGCAGGGGAAGACAGTGTACGGCAAGAGAAGCAAAGGAAGGCAGTGAATAAGACGGATATATGTTTTGGAAAGAAGACGAAGAAGAAGATTAGAAACTTAAAAAAAAATATCCGTTTCCCTAAAATGTACAATATAAAATAATATATTCAAGCTCTGATAAAATACCCACATAAACGACCACATTTTCAGAGGTCAGATTCTTCTTCAGTTTTGACTTGAGTTTAACGACCCAGAAACAATTTATCTTTTTTGCTAATTTGCATATGAGTCTAGAAAGGGATTTAAAATGATGTGTTGCCGCAGTCGTGAGTAAAGTGAGTTAGTAGAGGTTAGTTTTGGGAGGATTATTTTTGTGATGTATATAATGTCGGTATTTACTTAAGAGCAAGTTCTAGTTTATAAAAGAAAAACATCTACAACTCTAGACACACATACACACACACACGCACACGCACACACACACACACTAGAAAGGAATTTAAAATGATGTGTTGCCGCAGTCGTGAGTAAAGTGAGTTAGTAAAGGTTAGTTTTGGGAGGATTATTTTTGTGATGTATATAATGTCGGTATTTACTTAAGAGCAAGTTCTAGTTTATAAAAGAAAAACATCTACAACTCTAGACACACATACACACACACACGCACACACACACACACGCACACACACACACACACACACACACACATACACACACACACGCACACACACACACACACACACACACACACACACACACACACACACACACACACACACACACACACACACACACACACACACACACACACACACACACACACACACACACACACACACACACACACACACACACACACACCAACAAAGTTATAAGGAAGTTTGTCCAGAAAGATTGTATTTGTGGCTAAAAGCTTTGAAAATAAGTTACCATTTGTAAACATGAGAAAATCTAATAGTGTGATGGATAAGCACCATGTGATGGGAGAAAGAAGGAGGGAAAATGGTGAGAAGTGAGGCAAGAAATGGTTATAAGTAAAGGAAAGAAAGAGGGAGAGAGGTATACTTAGGATTACAAGTAGAGAAAGAGAAAGATACAAGAAGACAAACAGACAGGCAAGTAATCCCACTCAGTTTAAAATGAAGGCTCCATTAGGAAGCTGAACCACAAGACCAAACACCTCCGATAAACTTGAGTCTTCCGCGGATTTTAATTGGGCCAAATCCTTCACTGTTTTATCTACAATATTTCAAGTTGCCTCCATAGCCTAGGAAAACGAGTGTTCAAGGCTCCTGTGATAAACGTCTTCCAACAGTGACATGACAGTGTATGTGTCTGGTGAGATTAAACTTCACCTGTTCAATTATGTCAGGAGTTATAAATACATGAATGCGTTTCTAATATTCCTCCTCACCCCCGCCATTAACACCAGTACGTCCCAGTGATACCATTACCCCACCTCTACCACCACCACTAACACCACTACCCCCACCTCCAACCAATAGCAAGACTCCCTCTCCACACAGTTCGGGGGGAGGACGTTGCTGCCAGTACGGTGGATGCCCCCAGAGAGTATACTGTACCGCCGCTTCACGATCGAGTCTGACATCTGGAGCTTCGGGGTGGTACTGTGGGAGATCTTCACCGGCGGCAAGCAACCATGGTACGGCTACACCAACCAGGAGGTGAGTTATGGTGCACTCTGTTACACTCCCCTGCATTACGGTACACTAAGATGCGTTATGGTATATTGTTGTCCTATATTATTATTATTATTATTATTAATAGTAGTAGTAGTAGTAGTTGTATTATATTATTATTATTATTATTATTATTCCACATTCAGTTCAACTCACTAGATAAACCGAGATTTACATTATATTTTTGATGTATAAATACAGTAGTCAGGCTGTAGGTGAATTTATATTATATTATTATTTCACAGTAATGATTTTTACTTGTTTCCGGTATATGTCAATAATACCTGTGCAATATTCTGCCCCGGGGAATTAAGTCAAAGAAAATAGCAATAATATTTTAACAACTTTGCAATTTTAAGACCCTGTAGTGTAGACAGAAAATTATATACTATGACTAATAACATAAAACACATAATGAATGACAAGAGATAACAAAAAATACGTATTTTATCCCTCAAACTGATTTAATAATTTGTTTCTAAGAGCTACCATATTTGTGTCTCTTTCTCTCGTCAGGTCATCACGCAGATCACGGCGGGGCGGATGCTGTGCTGCCCTGAGAGGTGTCCCCCAGATATGTACAGTATCATGCTCTTCTGTTGGACCAAGAACCCTCAGGAGCGCCTCACCATGGCCACCCTCTACGACCGTATCCGTAGTCTCACCACAGTAGAGCCTCATGTCCTTGATTATGACTGAGACTCCTTCCCTCCTTACCTCACTCCTTCTTTACCTCCCTCCTTCCCTCTCTCTTTACCTCCTACCTTCCATCCTTCCGTTCTCATAGTAGAGCCTTACATTCTCAACAATAACTAAGACTCCCTTCATCCTTCCCTCCTCCCCTCTCTCCTTCCCTTCTTCCTTCCCGCCTTCTTCCTTCCCTCCCTCAGCCCCTCCCTTCCTCCTTCCGTCCCCTTCTCCTTACCAACCGTTGACCTCGACTCCCTCCTTCACTTTCAAGAGAACCTGGCAGGTTAGGAGGAGCGCTAAGACTGTGAACACTGAGAAAATGTTGCAAATATTTTAGTACAAGGATCATCGTAATAGTGCAAGTTTTATGTGAACTGTCAATGTTGATGCTGAACTTTTCTGAACATAGAAAACTGAAATTCAAAAACAAGAGTAATGTTTATAAAGTTCTTCTTGGAGTACTTTAAAGCTGATAGATAAATAGTTTAAGTTTTTATACTCAGAAAGAAAACGAGTGAAGAGTGTTGAAAGCTGAGTGTTTTCAAGAAAAATTGTAGCTGATTGAATTTTGAGCTTGTTTTGTAACACCAAGATCATTTACTTTAATATATTAGTAAGTCTGGTGATAATATTAGCTACCTGGACTTACTGAGGAAGAAAAGACCAACTGGAACGAACATACAGGACAAAGAACCTTGGCCATGAGTATAAATAATAGTGAGTGTTAGCGGTGTTTTATAAGGACCGAGTAGTGTCGTTCTTGTCCAGTAGTTAACATTTGTTACCTAGAAAAGATTTGAAGTTATTACAAATGTTTGGATGCTGCTCCGTAGAACACTCTAGCCATCACTGTGGACGGTGCCATGACAGCACTGTACATTGACCAAAGTTACGAGTTACTTGAGTGCAAGATATACGACCAAGAAGGTGTTTTCAATCACTCTTAACTGTTGGGAGATCTTTATGGTCCAATGAACTAACACCAGATACTTATCGACGCGGGGTTCGAATCCCGCCCGTAGTTGCTTCAAGAAATATTGCTTTTATTAAGATCATTAACATCACGCTACTGTGACTTAGAACCGTAACTTGTCTTGTCTTGTAGAGGATGAGCACATCTCCCGGCAGTGGCTCACAGTCACACCTCCACCTGTACCTCCACATGAAGTCTGTCTTCATGACAACACTTTCTGGGGACTCTTTCCAACCCGTGTTACATCTGAAACACGACTTCATTATTCACTTGACTGATTTTGTACCTTACTGGAAAATATAAGTTTCACAAGTGCTTCCCGACGACGTGTTGTATCTAGTCTATTTATCTTTCATTCGTGGCAACTGATAATGTTATTCTTCAGGAAGGTTTGGTGTCAAAATGAGTGGTTTAAGCATAAACTAAAAGAGAACAATATATTTATTACAAGAAATGTGTTATGTAAAGTAAGGAATTCTAGACTACATTTTATCTGTGTTTCAGACATCACCTCCATCCGGTTGTACACAAGGCTGGAGTGTTGACCTGGTGATGGTAGTAGGGGCGGTTACAGGTCAAATGGTCCCCTTACCTAACAGGCCTAATAAATAATGAGTCCCATAACTAATAAGTCCTAACCCTAATAGACCAAAGTCCCAATAGATCCCAATCCTAAGAGAGACCCCAGTCCTATTAGGTCTCAGTCCTGATAAGTCCTAGTACTAATAGACCCCATCCTAACCTAACGTTGTCATAGGAGTGGTTCCCATTAGGACTGGCACCCATTAGGACTGGGCCCATTTGACCAGTCACCATAGCAGCAACAGGAGTAAGGTGCTGCCTCTTACTACAGGACCCGACCCTCCCCACACACTCCGGCTGTCCATCCCACAAATTCATGTGATAAATTAATTTGTATATAGAATTGGAGATTTACCTTGAGTGTATTGGACATATTGTTTATCATGTTACGTGGTGAACAGATGCTAGTTATATATTTGTGTATATCTCAAATACTATTGGGCCTGTGTAGGATGTACATACCTGTAGACATTTATATGATGAGAGACGGAGGTGTGACTTCCACTGGTGCGCTAATTACCTGGTCGTTGATGTGAAATTATATTTTTTGATTAAGTATTGTGGATTCGATTTTTTTTCTCAGAAAATTATGACCGCCAACACACATTTTTATACAAAGGATGAAAGTAGTAATTTTCTCAGTGTGTGTGACTGTATATATCTACAACGACTCACTCGAGAGTGTTGTGGCTTGTCATGCCTCACCACCTGACCATAGTACAGTTTGGACGTTCACAAGACGTAGGTTTTAGTTTCACCCTGAGGTGAGGTTGGGTTATAGTAGTTAATTTATTTCAAAACATTTGTTGAGCTTTTACAACTTCTAGGCTGACATGTGACCATTATGTGCTCCTCGGTGGCCACAACACACTGCATGCGGGTAATAACAGACATGACCGTGGCACTGAGTTCCCCACCCCTCTATAAGGTTTACCACCTCCCGTGTGATTGCATTTTCCGTATTTTGTAAACAATGGCACTACGCAGCGCGTAGTCCACCATAAGTTCTAAACAAATTACAGCACTTTCGAGCAAAGAGTTAGAGAGTTACGCTTTCATTTACTGTATAAGTTACGGTACAACCCTCATGTACATTGTGTGTAATGGTGGTCCTGTTTTTCCATTTGACAACTAGCAGAGCTGGAACTGTCTGTTTTCCTTATATTTTGAGGAATTTATGTAGCATTATGAAATGTTTATCAGCGTCTGTTAAATGAATAATATTTTTTTTCTTATGTACTAATATAATTTGATTCCTCTCTAAGGTCCATTAATTTAAACTGTAACACAAAAATAAAATAAAGATTAATTTTTGAACTTCAGGAGTTTTATTTTCTTGATGTTAATAAAAGTCAACAAACCTGAGGACTCATTAATGCTTCATTACCTCTCAAGATGTATTAATAAACTTAATTATCTTGCTGGTGTCCATTAGCCGCTGACTGGGAAGTGCACACACACACACACACACACACACACACACTCACACACACACACACACACACACACACACACACACACACACACACACACACAGACTTCTTATTCTATCTTTATATACAATATGTATAAAAATTCCCTCAACACTCAGCAGTATCTGGCTTCTCCTTGCGAGCCACCTGTGTTATTGGCTTATAGATGACTGAAGAAAATCGCTGAAAAACTTTAAGGTATTACGATGAAAACTCTGGGTAAATGAACATTCAAGTCCCAAGCCAACTGAACCTTCAAGTTGATTTGCCAGAAGTGTCGAGGATTTTTTTGATGTAACAACATAGTGCGTGTGTGTGTGTGTGTGTGTGTGCATCCATTTTATGTCTCTTTTTGAAGGTGCGTACAAGATAAATTTACATATTTGTCGAAAGCTATAAAATATTTCTCTTTTAGGTGTGAGCTGAGAGAGTCATACAGAAAACCACTACAGTGATTAATTTATATTAATACTATAATTTTCTTGAGATCTTTTATACATCCATACACGACAGGTTACAGCATAATATGAGTCACATCCTTTATATAAGGAAATGAATACCCTACTCGATGTTCCTATTAGGATGAGTCTGTTAGTTAGTATTGGAAATTCTGAGAAGTTGGAGCTGAAGTATAAAGCCTTTGTCAATTTCTATTTATTTTTATTGGTTTAAATGCCACGTGTACCAATGTTACAGTTGATTGAATCTCGGTTTTTGTAGTTAAGACGGACTGTTGTATGAATTATTTAATATTTGTGTCAAGTGCGCGGCGACGGGATACCTAGTTATAACTTTTCAAATAAGGTTTATGGTAAAGTGAGCCCAATTTTACTTTACCATTTTCCATATAACTTTTCCATGAGAACTTCGAGGAGATTGAATCCCACTGAGGTTGACCTTTGTACACAAGCTAAATCATGACGTCAGTGACTTTAGCGTAATAGCTGTGGACTATGGTCATCAGATGGTGCAACACACAGTCTATATGTTAGAATATTAACAGTAGAGTGTATTATATTCTTACAACTATTGACAACAGTGTAATGTATATTAATGAATAAGAAAAAGTCACTGACGGCCTGATCCAGCTTGTGTTCTGTACATACGCAGTTTATCCCGGAGAAAAATTCTAAAGCTGACATTGAAATATGAGCTGTGAAAAGAAATTACGAATTTTGTAAGCAGAAGGGTTGAACGAAATTCTAAGAAAACATAAAAAAAACAATATCATTATCCGATACATCTATGGCACCATCCCTTTGTGACTCAGACAGATCCACAAATTGTTACCGTGGCACAATTGCGATTCAGGATTTGGAGCAGTCACTGTAGTGGTGTCAACTGAGGTTTGAGACAACATCTGTACCCATTAGTTGATTGGCTCTCTTCAGTTACTAAGGGAACTCACCTTCAAGCGAGGTATCGTTTCTAATAAGTGTGGCCAAGTATTTAAAGACAAAAACTTTACCAACACTTCATCCTTCTACCATTAATATCCATCACCATTGTCTAACCAGTTCTCATAATCTCAGTCTGACGTGTGTGTGTGTGTGTGTGTGTGTGTGTGTGTGTGTGTGTGTTTAAGCTCTGCAGTTCAATCAAAGCAACTGGTAGGTGTATATGACGTAATTTCAGTTAGTTTACAACAACAACACCGCCGTGGAATTGCTATTTCGGGTATTACACGGACAACACACACACACACACACACACACACAGGAAAATATGTTCTCATCTTGCCAAGAAGGTTGTTGTTACACTATTTTACTTCCTCATAAAAAGTTCTACACCAACGTATTGTATTCATCACAAAATTCCCTTAGAATGTCATTTGACTCTCCACCCTCCCTCACTATATCATTCCCTTAGGTTTAGATACAATTATATACCATTACCTATCTAGGGATATACGCTTCAGTGTGTGTAATCAGTCAGCTGGACATTCATGAGTTACGAAAAATAAAAATAAAGAACTCGACTTGGCTTTTGACATTTAGCTTCTGTGAAACTTGGAATGAAAAACGTGAGATTGTTGTATTTTTTTCAATCGTATTTTACATAACTATTGTTTGTGTGGTGATGAAAGTGGAACAGGACTTTTCACTGAGTATGGTCAGGGCTATCTAGTGTGGTAGATAGACATATATTGTGGTAGGTGGCTATATATTGTGGTAGGTAGTCATACAGTGAGGTAGGTGGCCCATATAGTGTGGTAGGTTGCCATATAATGTGGTAGGTTGCCATATAGTAGCAGTTGGCCATATGATGTGATAGTTGGCCTTATAGTGGGGTAGGTGGCCATATAGTGTAGTAGGTTGGCCACGGTGGGTATATTGTGTGATAGTCGGCCTCAATGTTTACACTTGCCCTCCTAACCCGCGTCGAGGAGGAACTGCATAAACAAGGTAGTACGGTAGTTTGCGCTCCCCCGGCCCTCTGATTGGTGGGCAGCAGAGGGAGGTATGTATATATACTGTATATATATCTCACAACTGACACCACATTATTAGTCCAACTTTGACCTGTGTGTGTGTGGGTGTGTTACTCGTTCGTGAACTTCGCGCGTGTGAGATAGTTATTTCATTCTGGATGTCTGTAAGGTAATGTCAACTTAATTTATTACTTTGTACTGTTTTATGAAATGATTGAAGTAATTTAAAAAAAATGTGTTTATAGATGATTAGGATGGAAAGTGATGATAGTGATTTATATGTTAATTGAATTTATTTTAAACTCAGATCAATGAAAAGATCCCATTATAAAGAGCTTCAGTTGTTGAGGTGACGGCCCGTGGTAGCTCTGGTGTGGGCAGGATTAAGTGACGAGGTTGTTCAATTTATATGATTTTTGGGGGTTAGTGGGGGACATTATTATAGTACTAGTAACAAGAAGACACAGCGATATTACTATGGTTGACTGTAGACTGTCTCTGCTCTACACAGTTACTGTTAACACGAGCCGATTCGGAATTTCGTGCTTGGTGGGGAGGTGTGTGGTTATTCAATTAGGCTATATGGAGTCTAATTAAGACTCTATAATCCAGAAGATTAAAAGAAACTCTGAGGCTCTTACGTTAGATTTTAATGAGGATTAATTAGCCTTTGATAGGGTGTTTGGGGGGGGGAGGGAGGGAAGGAAGGAAGGAAGGAAGGAGAGGTGTTCTTTGACCTCCCCCTTTTTTAAACCGTCACTAGTTACTAATTATTGAGGACATCAACAGCAATACTCCTTTCTGGTGAACGTATTAGAACGAGACTGGCAAAGTTCTCCTGACCTAGTGTCTGGTGGCGCCGAGGGATGGGCTGAGGAACACTTCGATCCCTAGTTCGTCTCGCCAATTATAAACGAGGCTTCACCTATGTCGTGTTATTACTGGCCGAGTTATCATCGAGTGTAGAATCCATACGTCTTCTCAAGTGGTGTGCGTTATATAGTGTAAAATATGTCTACTACGAACGTATAAATTTTAACTTGCTTTGTTCTTGACGTTTGAAGGGGAGCGAGGTTAAATAGTCATATAATGCGATTGGTTTCTCTCCTTTTAACTTCATTCTAATTGGATGTATTTTTTACAGTGGATATATCTGGGTGTATTTTCGACAATAAAGCATTAGTAACAACCACAAGTTCACAACACTAGCTCGTTTACATAAGTTTCAACGTAAAAGTAGATGATGGAAATTTCTTCTTGGTGTAAGCTCCGTAAATAAATGATTAAGTAACAGATACGAATAATTAATGTAAAAAAAAGTACCGTAGTGACATATATAAGAAAATAAGACCAAGAAACCTGTAAGTCATTGTTTATTGAATATACATAACGAAATTTGACGTTTTTTTAGTGAATAACAAAAATAAAAACCAAAATATTTTTTTTTTTAACAGTGAAACTACGTAGTGATACCTGGATCCATTTCAGTCATAAAGAGTCAGACTAGTTTCAGGAAAATGAATGGTGTTACATGTTATTGGGGGAGGGGGGTGGAGGGTAGGGGAAGGGGAGGAGGGTGAGAAGGGGAGGGTACGGGGAGAGGAGGGTGGGGAGGGGTGCAACGTAACCTGATTTTCAGATAGCTTTGTTCACTGACTAGAAGGTTAAAGTAATTGATTTAGCGCCGTCCATCACAGTACTACCATGAAGAGAATGTGAAAATAAAGTTATCAAAATACAGATAAATGAGGAAGAAATAGAGAAAAACGGAGACAAAATTAAATCCTGATGAAAAAATTAAACAAACGAAAGAGAACAATTTGAAGTAAGTGAATAAGACAAAAACGATGAAATAAATTAAAACAATGTAAATTTTAGAATAAAACAAAGAAATTTGAAAAAAAATGTAAAATAACGAAAGAAAAGATTTTGAATAAAGTGAAAAAATAAGAGAAAACGAAAAAATCCAGAAATAAACAAAATAAACAAATAAATAGAAAAAATCCCATCTGTTTAGTTTTTCACAATTTACAGTTTCTTCTTTTTCATTTCATTTTATTTCGGTTGTGTTTTCTTTGTATTTGTCACTATAATATTGATAGTGAGGAATACATACAGGTTAGGTTTGGTTTGGTTCGTTAATATCGGCTGAAATATTAATAAATAGGATTTTGATTACAATTACGTTAACAAAAACTGTAATGTAATCGATTGCAATCATGATTATATAACATGTCATTATGATTACAATTATATTAATTTCTAAAACAATAATGTATACTATTTTGATTTCTTAGTAATATTGTTTTTTCACAATAATACCGAAATTTAATGTAATTGTGGGATCTTAATTATGTGTTATGTAGTTACTATATTTTTCTAAGGTCGTAGTACTAAATAAAAATACCGTAGCAG